CTGCAGTACCAGGGCTGACCAGCGGGTGCTCTCAGCAGCCAGAAGCTCACTCCTGCAATCAGCCAACACCTGGGGCTGATTGCAGGAGGTGTATTTAAGGAATGGCCAGACCTGCAGTCAGGGCCTTGGTGTATGTTTCCCATGAGCCCCTGTACCTGGTATCCTGTGTTCCTGCCTATATGCCTAGTTGCTGACCATGCTTTGATCCTGACCTCTGCTGACCGTTTCCTGTTGAACCCCTGGCTTGCCTGACCATCCTCCTGCCTAATCCTCTGTACCGCGCTGCCCGTGAGTTACTGAACCCGGCTTTGTGACCCTGACTATTCTCTGCCTGCTCCTCCGGTACCTCAGTGCCCGCACGTTGCTGACCTGGCCTGCCTGACTACGCCTGACGCTACCCAGATGATCCATCCATCTTGCACGGATCCAGTCACTACTGTGCAAACCTGCCAGCCCCTTCACATCAGGCTTTCCCCCGGTACATACCCTCGGCGGACCCCTCTACCACAGTTGTGTGCACTCAAGGGCCGTGACCTGGTCTCAGTCCTGCGCCAAGTCCATCCCCACCATCAGGGGCTCTGGTGAAAAGGCAGACTGGGGCTTAGACTCCGCGCCCTGGGGAATCCTGTTCTGTGGGTCACTAGAGATCCCGCCGAGCGGTGCCTGACAGTACCTTACGGCCTGCCTGACCATTCCACCTCTCCAGCCCTGACTACGCCTGTGTTCCTGAAGCCTGCTACTTCCCTGTGTCAGTCCACGCATTTCTGGTCACACCCGGATCTCTGACAGAGTGCTTTTAGTAAGCTAAAGACTCTTTTCACTTCTGCACCAATATTGGTACATCCTGATCCTGAACTATCTTTTATTGTGGGAGTGGATGCCTCAGACTCTGCCGTGGGAGCCATCTTTTCCCTGTGCATATTTTTTTCGCTTGATCTCATCAGCAGAAATGAATTTTGACATTGGGAATACGGAGTTGCTGGAAGGGGGTAAGCATAAGGAAGTTTTTTTTCCAAATGGAGGAATCTGTTGGAAGGGGGAAAGCATCTTGTGACTGTTCTCACTGATCATAAAAATCTAGAATTCATCCATTCTGCCAAGAAATTGTCTTCTAGACAAGCACTTTGGTTGCTGGTTTTTTCCAGGTTTAATTTTATTTTCTCGTATCGACGTGTGTCAAGAGATGGTGGGGTTGATGCCTTATCACGGATGTTGTCTGGGCCTCTCCAGGAAAACAACTGACTAGGGGCCACAAGTTCTAAGGCATTCTTGAATCTTCTCAAAGAGTGGTATGAGAATGACCAACTTCTCAATTATCCACCTAAAGACATTAACATGGCTTATAAGAGTGGCTTTTGGATTCAAGAGAGCATCATCTCTTTGTACCTGAATCTGCTCAGATTGAAGCCCTCAGGTTGGTTTATGATTCCAAAACTGCTGGGCATTTTGGGGTTTCTAAGACTGAAGAACATTTATCACGTTCCTTTTGATGACCTGGTTCCAAGAAAGATATCAAACGCTATAGGGCCTCGTGCCTGACATGTGCATGCAGTATGACTCCCGGAGCTTCTCCTTTGGGGTTGCTTCAGCCACTCTCTTTTCCATCAAGACCATGGGGGTCAATTTCTACGGTTGATTTACCTCCCTCAAAAGGGATGACCACTATTTTGGTAGTTGTTGACCGTTCACAAAGATGGCAGTGAAGGGGATGCCCCACTGCTGAAGAAACTGCGGAACTGATGGTTCGAGAAGTCTTTAAACTGCATGGAATCCCTGATGATGTGGTGTCTGACAGAGGAGTGCAGTTCACTTCAAAATTTTGGAAAAGCCTTTGCTCAGCATTAGGTGTTACAATGAATCTGTCCTCTGTTTTTCATCCCTAGTCTAATGGTCAGACTGAGAGAACCAATCAAGCCCTGGAGCAGTATCTTCGATGTTTTGTCACTTATCTTCAGGATGACTGGGTGGACTGTCTTCCCACTGCAGAGTTTGCATATAACAATTCTAGATGTAGTTCCACTTCACAAAGTCCCTTTTACCTAAACACTGCTATCATCCAGTTTTTATTTCTGATCTCCCTATCTCAACTCCAATTCCTGCTGTTACCAACAGACTAACTACATTGCAGGAGATTCAGGAGAAATTGATTGAGACTTTGAGGGAAGCTCAGGAATGTTACAAAAGACATCGCAGATCACTTCCTACCTTTCATGTGGGTGACAAAGTTTGGTTATCAATTAAAAATTTGAAGGTTCATGTTCCATCTGCTAAGTTGGGTCAAAGGTTTGTGGCTCAGTTTCAGATTTCTGCTCAAATCAACCCGGTCACCTTTCATTTAAAACTTCCTGACAGTTTTTCACATATTGCTACTCAAACCGTTTCATGAAAATCCTTTCCCTGGAAGAATTCTTCCACCTCTTCCATCCATTGAGGTGCAGGGTGAAGGAGAATTTGGAGAAAATCCTTGATTCCAGGATCTTTAGGAACAGATTACAATATCTGGTTCAATGGGAAGGATATGGACCAAAAGAAAATTCTTGGGAGTCTGAGGAGAATGTTCATGCCTCTAGATTAACATGAGAATTCCACCAGAGGTTTCCTCACAGACCTGGCCCTAAGATATCCAGGGGACATCCTGGGAGGAGGTGAGTACTATCAGGGCATGGACTTGAATCCAGGAACTCTACTGTGTCTGGCAGTAGCTCTTCTCACTCAGCTACCGGAGATGTTGGACAGCATTTTGCCTAATCCATTGGACAATCCTGACTTGTGCCTTGTTGTCTACTGAACCTTGAACCCCTTGCTCCTCCCATGAACTTCCTGATATAAGCCATGTCTCTGCATTTCCTGTTTGCCAGATTATTGTGCCTTCTCCAGCCAGTATCTCACTCTTGTCCCTCCTGCTACTCTCTGTACCTTCACTACTGCCCATTGGCTTGTTCCTATGATTCTGCCTCATCCCAATCTGCAACCACTTGTTACTGACCCTTGGCTTGTTTACTGACTACGCTTCAGCTTGAACCCTACCTGCCATATCTGTTACTGGGTCCTGGCTTGCTCGCCTCCTGGTGGGCCGATCCTGGAAAATGCAACCTGAAACTAACAGTAAAACCGATCTCCACCATCAGGAGCTCTGGTGAAGACTGGTTAGTGCTTGGACCCCGCACCTCAGGTGAGCCTTCATCATCTGCCAGGGTGACTTGCTGTATACCTATCATATTGTTTGGTCTGCTGCTATAACTACTGGTCCCTAAGCCTGACCTCTGACCATGACAGCACCTGGGGCCTGTGCTTTGAGCCTTCTACCCCATATCCTGAATCTAGCAAAATCTCTGACAGAACAATGTCTCGAAGGTTACTTGCTCTGTTGTCTGCTGGCTATGCCGGGTGGAGGGATATGTCTGTATAGTCTCAGACCCAAGTCACTGAGTGCAGTCTCAGGAGATGGGAGGCAACGGTGTGGGATCTCTGCAACTTGTCTACAGGAAACATTTAGCTTCTACTGATTACTGAATACCAATATTATGACCCTTATATTATATAATTTATATTGTACATTACATAGTCCTGACCCCTGCACTATATACTCTATGTTGTACTTTACATACTCCTGACCCCTGCACTATATACTCTGTTGTGCATTACATACTCCTGACCCCTGCACTATATACTCTATGTTGTACATTACATACTCCTGACCCCTGCACTATATACTCTATGTTGTACATTACATACTCCTGACCCCTGCACTATATACTCTGTTGTGCATTACATACTCCTGACCCCTGCACTATATACTCTGTTGTACATTACATACTCCTGACCCCTGCACTATATACTCTATGTTGTACATTACATACTCCTGACCCCTGCACTATATACTCTATGTTGTACATTACATACTCCTGACCCCTGCACTATATACACTATGTTGTACTTTACATACTCCTGACCCCTGCACTATATACTCTGTTGTATAATACATAATTCTGATACTATATAGTCTGACCTGCTGTATCTTATACAATATGTTGTACATTACATACTCCTGACCCCTGCACTATATACTCTGTTGTACATTACATACTCCTGACTTCTGCTCTCAGCCCTCCCCCCACTGCTATATATACACATAATATGGATTCTCTTTTGTTACACCCCATTTCCTACCAGCTGGACATTTTATATCGGATGATGTGATTGGAGCACAGACTTTTACATGTTGATAATAATGTGATAACATCCTCCAACTTTGGACTCTTAAACAGAAAGTGATAATGAGGGAGGAGTCAATACCCCAATGATGGTGGTCTTCAGGATCAGTCCAGTCTTCATCTTGGTTGTTCTCCCCCCATCCTCACTCTCTGACCTCTGGTGGGGCTCAGCCCCGCTGTTCTTCATGACTAAATCATGGAGTAAATAAGGAAGTGCAGTACTTCTTGTGTTGGGAAGATGGCGATGAGTGATAGAGGGGGTGGGGACCCTCGTCCTATAATCCCCTCATCACTGTCCCTCCTATAAAAGACAGTTCTGGTTGTTTCCTCACTCTCTGACTAAGGTCCATGAATAAAGAAATGACCTGGTAGGAGATCAGAGGAGCCATTTCCTAGTTCCCTTGAGGGTGGAATTGTAAGCTCCTCAGAGACCAAGCTGGCTGATGTGGGCGGAGTCTTGGTTTGGGGGAACCAATCAGCTCCTGTCTAGTAATCCTCTTTGTCTTTGTATTTTAGTCCATGGCCGGGAGATGAGGAAAACCTCCGAGGATTGTCTCACTTTGTCTCCAGACTGGAAAGTAGAAGATGAGGACATCACACAGTATAGTCCAGGAGAAAACCCGGCTCCCTCCAATGTCCATCCGGCACCACCCAGTGTAGATGGACCATCGGATTCCTCGTATCCTGAGGAACCTCAGACTGTGCGGGACCGGGCCGGCCTTCCAACAGGGAAGAGCTTCTCCTGTACTGAGTGCGGGAAGGGTTTCTGTTCTAAATCCAAACTTAATGTGCATAAAAGATCTCATACGGGGGAGAAGCCGTATTCCTGTACTGAGTGCGGGAAATGTTTCCGTTTTAAATATTATCTTAAGGTGCATAACAGAATTCACACAGGAGAGAAACCATATTCCTGTCCTGAGTGCGGGAAATGTTTTTCACAGAAGTCCCATCTTTACACACATCAGGGTTCTCACACAGGGGAAAAACCGTATTCCTGTCCTGAGTGTGGGAAATGTTTTTCACAGAAGTCCTATGTTTATATACATCAAAGATCGCACACAGGGGAGAAGCCATTTTTCTGTTCTGAGTGCGGGAAATGTTTTATAGATAATTCTAGCCTTAAAAATCATCAGAGACTGCACACAGGCGAAAAGCTGTATTCCTGTTCTAGGTGTGGGAAAGGTTTTGTACGGAAATCAGAACTTGTCACACATCAGATGTATCACACGGGGGAAAGGCCGTATTCCTGTTCCAAGTGCGGGAAATGTTTTGTAAGAAAAACAGTACTTGTCAAACATCAAAGGTCTCACAAATAAAAACTATTCCTGTCCTGAGTGCGGAAAATGTTTCTAAGACAAGACCAGTGTTTACACACCTCAGAGACTTCACACGAGGAGAAACGTTTAAAAGGACTTCCAGTCTTTACAAATATCAATGCTCTCACGTGGGGAGAAGCCACTTTCCTGTCCTGAGTGCGAGAAATGTTCCTCACTGAAGTCCTGTCTTCCTGTACATCAGGGATCCCACACAACCCTGGAGGTGTATTAGTGCCTTGAGTGCGGGAAATGTCTTCTAGATGAATGTTGCTGGACATCTCAGCTCTCATGTGGGGAAGAAGCACACCCTGATATACACCTCAAATATACTCCATGGCTGATCTTCATCATGGAAGAAACAGTTCATAAGGAGATCAGAGGACACCAAAGACACGGATGAAGTGTGGGAACGGGTTGGCCATTGATAGCAGGAGAAGAATAAAAATGGAGTCATCACCTTTCATTGGCTGAGTACATTTTGTGGTGGGAGATTTCACAAAAATTTATTGGAACGAATGTGAGCGGCTTTCTCCCAGCTGTGACGAGTTTTGTCCGTATTTTATTTCCTGTGAACATTGTCTCCATCTAGTGGTCATAATGTCATTTTCTATAAATAGCCCCTTTATCTTCCTTGGTCAGGCACAGCTTCATACTAATACAAGTGGAGACACAGCAGCGCTGATCTAAGTGTAGTATGAGGAAGATTTGTTCCAACAACACAATGGAGTCCTTGGTTCCTGAATCAAAGTCTGGATACAAGTCCATGGGGGCTGAGGAGCAGATAGCTGAGCCATTCGAGACAAAGCCTTTCTGTAGAAAGGATCCACTAACGAGATGAATGATGGCTCGCAAGAAACCTCATTAGCTCCTCCAGACTGAGCCCACCTCGGGCGCTGTAGGCATTGTGGTCCGCAGACCGCTCGGCTGCACTGGTGGTCCAAGGGATCCAAAGCCGACAGCCGTGACATCACCGGAGGAGGAGCAACCTCATTGACTGCCTACAGTGCCCGAGGCGGGCTCAGTCTGGAGGAGATAATGAAGTTCATTGCGAGCCAAGAAATACATTTTAAAAAAATTTAGAAATTCTCACAAATTAGAAAAACCACTATCAGCTACCACTGGAGATGGGAGGAGGGAACTCACCAGCAGATTGTGGACTGTGGGGACTCACCAGCAGATGGTGGACTGTGGGGACTCACCAGCAGATGGTGGACTGTGGGGACTCACCAGCAGATGGTGGACTGTGGGGACTCACCAGCAGATGGTGGACTGTGGGGACTCACAAGCAGATGGTGGACTGTGGGGACACATAAGCAGATGGTGGACTGTGGGGACACACCAGCAGATGGTGGACTGTGGGGACTCACCAGCAGATGGTGGACTGTGGGGACTCACCAGCAGATGGTGGACTGTGGGGACTCACCAGCAGATGGTGGACTGTGGGGACTCATAAGCAGATGGTGGACTGTGGGGACTCATAAGCAGATGGTGGACTGTGGGGACACATAAGCAGATGGTGGACTGTGGGGACTCATAAGCAGATGGTGGACTGTGGGGACTCTCAATCAAATGGTGGACTGTGGGGACTCTCCAGCAGATGCTGGACTGTGGGGACTCACCAGCAGATGGTGGACTGTGGGGACTCACCAGCAGATGGTGGACTGAGGGGACTCATAAGCAGATGGTGGACTGTGGGGACTCTCCAGCAGATGGTGGACTGTGGAGACTCATAAGCAGATGGTGGACTGAAGGGACTCATAAGTAGATGGTGGACTGTGGGGACTCTCCAGCAGATGGTGGACTGTGGGGACTCATAAGCAGATGGTGGACTGAAGGGACTCATAAGCAGATGGTGGACTGTGGGGACTCTCCAGCAGATGGTGGACTGTGGGGACTCTCCAGCAATGCCATGCCAAGGTCTGGTGAATACAATTCAGGGAGGGGATTTGTCATGGAGGTTGGGGGGAGGGGATTTGGAGGAGGGGGGATTTATGTTTGCGGGGCACTCTGTAATTTATGTACTTTTGTCCTCTACACTCTGTGTCTTATGTACTCCTGACCCAGAGTACACTAGGTTCAGGTGTTATTACACTATACCAAAAGTCAAACTATAGGATAAAATGGATTTTGGTGCAAACACACACACATACATACACACATATCCATACACACACATACATACACATACATACATACACATATATATATAAATACATACACATATATACACACACACACCTACACCATTTTGGGGTGAAATATAAAAGATGAGGTTGTGTCAAGCAAATAGATACCAAATATGTGAAATGGTAAAACTACACCACCTAAAAATCTCTGTAGGAGACGTTTTAAGAGCTCATTGGTTTAGAGCCAACTGTGATCTGTGGTGGTGGAATTATTCCTCTCACTGCGACATTCACGGCGATCTCCCACATACATGGTGCAATCACAGTTTACATATACACCCTGTGTGTGCGATTCCAGGTGCATGTAGGACAACGGGTTAATGAATATATTTAAAAACACAAAAAGTAGCATTTTTATTTTACATTTTTTTTTTTTTTTTAGCTGTATTGCTCAGAAGGAGTTAACCCCCCCTTCCCCGTGATATCATTGGTCAGGTGACAGGTCCTCTGTATGATACATTGGGAATCTATTAGACCTGCAATGTCTCCTCAACCCTTCAATGCACAGATGGCGCTCGGTTAGATGCTTCCTTGGCTGGATCATCCAGGGAATGACGGCTCAGAAATGAGAAACACTCAAAGCTGAGGACTGCTGGCTTTATTCAGTGCAGAGGAGATCGGGGAATGGACGTTCACCAGTCTCCTCCATCTTTGTCTACTGAAGTCGCTAGATGTGGTCTCAGGATCCCAGGATGAGTGGGAGAGCCCAGGAACCATGTAAGGGGGGTGTGGCGGTAAGGAGGTACTGTGTCGCCTGCAGTATAAATGGGATCAGGCAGCTATACAGCCACCCTGGATCACTTTTACTGTGTGGCTGGGAGCTGGCTGGAGAAAACATGCACTCCTACTGCCGCGATCAGCTTGTGATTTACCCTTCACTCACTGGGTGTCCTATGTACATCCAAAGAGCTGAACTAAATAACAAAAAATATTTCTTCTCTATGAACTAAAATCCTCTACAGAATTGAACAAAATGAATCTGTCAGCTGCTATAATATACAACACCCCTCATAAACAGATAATGAAGAGCTCTGCATGTCCTTATCAATCACAAAGTGCGACAGTGTAAAGACATCCATATACATATGATTGGTGCGCAGAGTACAGAGTGAATGCACTCACAGATTCCTCTTATAGTCCAATGGTGTACAAAAAGTCCAAAAGTAGATAGTCGGAAAATTTCCACGTCCAAATGTGGTGAATCTTCACCCAACACCTGCCCTCCCCCACTCTTTAGGGAACGCACTTTCCGGATACACGTGCCTCTCTGTACACTGGAACAAGCCAATGCCACTTTTGATGTTCCCAGCACAGGTGGGATAGGTTGAGGTTCCGGCTCCTCCTGAGTGCAGCCCGCTCCACCTTTACCAGCAGCACTGCCGGCTCCAGCATGTGAAGATGAAGGAGAAGCTCCCCAGGTGTTCTACCAATCAGATTTATAGAATAGAAATGCCGAGATCCTCACAGAAGGGAGAGAAAAGTGGCTGCACTGGGGACAAAGCTTGAGCACAATGGGAGCACAACGTGCAGGAGAATAACGCCGGCTCCCCCCAGCCTCCCCATGATACTCCTTGATCCTCCCCCCATCCTTTTCTGATCAACCTCCCAATCCTTCCCCGATCCACCCCCATCCATCCCGGTCCTCCCCCCAACCTTAAAATCCTTCCCCGATCCTCCCCCATCCTCCTCCCAATCCTTCCCCCAACCTCCAAATTCTTCCCTCGATCCTCCCCCATCCTCCCCCCAACCTTCCAATCCTTCCCTGATCCACCCCCATCCTCCTCCCAATGCTCCCCCATCCTTCCTGATCCTCCCCCCAACCTCCCAATCCTCCACTCATCCTCCCCCATCCTTCCCGATCCTCCCCCCAACCTCCCAATCCTCCCCCATCCTCCTCCCAATCCTTCCCCCAACCTCTAATTCCTTCCCCGATCCTCCCCCATCCTCCTCTCCCAATCCTTCCCCCAACCTCCAAATCCTTCCCTCGATCCTCCCCCATTCTCCCCCCAACCTTCCAATCCTTCTCCGATCCACCCCCATCCTCCTCCCAATCCTCCCCCATCCTTCCTGATCCTCCCCCCAACCTCCCCCATCCTTCCTGATCCTTCCCCCAACCTCCCAATCCTTCCCCGATCCTCCCCCATCCTCCTCCCAATCCTTCCCCCAACCTCCAAATCCTTCCCCGATCCTCCCTCATCCTCCTCCCAATCCTTCCCCCAACCTCCAAATCCTTCCCCGATCCTCCCCATCCTCCTCCCAATCCTTCCCCCAACCTCCAAATCCTTCCCCAATCCTCCCCCATCCTTCCCCCAATCCTTCCCCCAACCTCCAAATCCTTCCCCCGATCCTTCCCCAATCCTCCCCCCAACCTTCCAATCCTTCCCCGATCCACCCCCATCCTCCTCCCAATCCTCCCCATCCTTCCTGATCCTCCTCCCAATCCTCCACTCATCCTCCCCCATCCTTCCTGATCCTCCCCCCAACCTCCCAATCCTTCCCCGATCCTCCCCCATACCTTCCATTCCTTCCCCCAACCTCCCAATCCTCCCCCTATCCTCCTCCCGATCCTTCCCAATCCTCCCCCCAACCTCCCAATCCTCCCCCA